AACACCTTGCACATTCTGAGGGGGAGTTACATTTTTCTCCTCCTGACGCCAATCAAGGATCAATGCAAGACAACCCAAGAAAGTCGTAAGCGAATCAGATAAAGTCCCTCAGGTGTATCTCCAATAATTTTTGGTAACACTTGACAAGGACGCTGATGAGGATGATAATGAGATAGATGACGTGCTGACCGCCACTATCAAGGACACCAAGGTCATGATTACCAAAGAGCTGATGCACCAAGTGCTGCAAATCCCAGAGCAGGATGAATATGATGAGCTGGCCACCGAAGAAGATATCATGGAGGACATAATCACACTGGGCCACGCTCAACCTATCAGGCTCTTTTCTGAAGTCAAGCTAGGAATACTACTCAGACCGTGGAAGACTATAATGGCTACACTAAACAAGTGTTGCACTGGCAAACACACAAGCTTCGACTAGTGCAACATCTACTTTTTGACTGTCTTCCATGATGGTTTTTCACTACTGGTGTGACGCTTCTCCAAAACAACTCCATCCATCCACTGAAGACTCTCAACGGAGAACTTAGCTGATCCGAATGATCCACTGTCTGACGCTACTGCCAGAAGAATAACATTATACTCCCTATGGCTCAGATAAACCCCCCTGAGCCTACCCAAGGGAGTCAACCGAGAGAAAGTGAGGGTCCTGAGAGTTCCACCTAACCACAGAGACCAGTGGTCGGCCCCATGATGATCAGACTATGTCTGCTGAGGGCCACCCCCGAGTTGCTGAGGAGACTACCTATGACTCGTCTAGCGCAGCCTGACTACAAAACGCTGACGATGAGGGCTCCGGGAGCAAGGCTGAAAAGAGCGACAACAAGAAGGGTGGTGAGGACGACAATCATGCGGACAACAACGCAAAGAAAGCCAAGAAAGCTCAGGTACAAAAATGTTGATTCAATATCAAGCTTCCTACGGCTGCAGATGAAGGGGAGTCTTACTTGAGAAAGAATACTCAAGGACAGATTACCAGTGAGATTCGCTCTAAGCAACATCATGACGTCCCCTCTTCATCACTCATTCCTACGCAAAGAGTGCAAACACCGAACAACCAGGCTGAAGAAATGGCCTTGTATGACGGTTGCTCAGACCTAGATAAAATAAACCGGGCTAATTTAACCCCATAGGCACAGAGACTGATCTTTTCAGTCTCCGGGTAGAAGACGCAGCATACAGCCCAACTGCGCATACACAAGCCTCCCCTAGCCACTCTGTTGCCTCCCAACAGGTAGTAGTTTCAATATTAGAGGATCTCATACCCACTCTCTGCCCCCTTTCGGAGCAGTCGAGGATATTTATAGTGACCACCAGCCCCAGGTCACTACCCCTCCTTCTACCACGTTGTGTCTAGGTGTCACCCTCCATATATTTTCTAATTTTTCTAGGACACATACACTCTTCACACCAACGCACTCTACAGGTCCACTTTACCTGTCAACAACGATCGGAGATACTTCGATGATGATCGGAAGTCCTGTTGCTCAACATATAACTCAATCATTATTTGCAGGCCACACAACAGTAATCTTTACTGATGTTGTGACAACGGTTACTACCCCTATAACCGGAAACCCTGACCCTACCGACCTTTCTGTCATTCTGCAGCGCTTCTTGGATTCCACCATTAAGCCATGGGTGCACGAAGCAATAACCGCTTAGGCACAGGAATTCAGGACCACCCCAGCGCTTCTTAATGACATCATCCAAACTCTAACTCAACCCTCATCCTCCCACTCCCAACAGCAACTCACTCCAATCCTTACCCTATCCCATTTGACCATTTACCATGCCATTCGATGACCTAGCATCCATTATGCTAGTGAGAATTCTGGAAACCAAAGAAGCTCCACTCACTGACAAACAAAGAGCTCTTATTGTGGTACTTGAAACCTAAAGCACATGCAATGACAGTCTCCGCGGTCACAAACGTTCACATGAGGACCCTGATTATTCGGCTCCTCATGAGGGGGAGAATAAGAGGCAACGGATACTCGAGCATGGTGCTTCATCTAGCCAATAACCCCAACCTGAACCCCCAAACAACCAAGCTAAATGCAAGAATTCTCTCGAGGATGCAGATTTTGAGGGGGAGTTTTCAATGTTCTCCTCCCAAGCGCCAATTATCATCAAAGGCATCCTACTGAGTGCTACAGTTGAGGGGGAGTACAAAGAGAAAAGAGCAAAGAGAAATGAGAGACAAGTCTCAATGGCTTAGTAAACCCAACTAAGCCTACCCAAGGGGCAAAGCCGAGAGTGAGTGGGTAACTGAGTGAACACTATGAGAGTGAGGAAGCAGAAGGCTCATGTGAGCGAGAAAACAATAATCAATGACATGTCTGCTACCTCAATTGCGCTTTCAATTGAGAGAATTACTCCCAGTCACTCAAATAATCCGGACAATTCCCCATAGGTTCAGGACTGAATTTATTCAGATCCCGGGTAGAAGTCGCTGCATTTTGTCCAAACGGCGCATGCACAACCCTACCCTAGACCACTCACTTGTCTCCCAACAGACATGTGCTTAATCATATTTCACGGGGAACCTCATCTATTATTATTGTCTCCTTCCGAGGCAAGTGATACTGACTACAGTGGCCTCAGCCCCATGCCACTGAACTTTCATTGATCACATCGTGTCTAGTTATCTCACTCCCAAATGTTTTGAATTTTTAGGACACAGACACTTTTTAGAGTCAGTTGCAGGTCTTCATGACCCGCGAAAACTTCCATAGGGTTCATCTACTTTAGATGTAGACCAATGATTGGAAGGAAGTCCTGCTGTTGCAACATAGAAATCACCAACATGTTCAGGCCATCGCTCTAGAGTTTATCTCTATAGTGATGATAACGGGTGTCTACGCGACCTCGGGGGGCTACCACTTTCTTTGCTGATCTTTATGATTATGCCATAACAATTAGAGTGACATCTACTTCAGATGCTTCACAGTGACTGGTTGGAAGTCCTGTTAGAACTTTATTGCTTCTATCATTTTACACAGGCCACACATCGGTGTTTACATTGATGTTGTGATAACGGAACACGATGGTGTATCCGGTTTTTATCTTTTTTTCTTTTAGTTTTTGTTATCCAGAATAAAAGAATAAAGGCATGACACCCCGAATCATCGGATCGTCATGAGGGGGAGAGTGGTCCACATGCTGTTCACTATCAACAAATCATTTTTGGACACATCTCTCCTCCATCACAAAAATCAACAACGGCTCTCTACTCTCTCAACTCATCAAAACTGCCAAGTCAGCTTCACATCAATTGGCCAGCTAAACCCACAAGTCAACCATCACTTTCCGCTGTGCCACCAATGATATCTCCTCAAAAGAAATCTTTTTCCGCTGCGCCACCTACACTTTGGAGGAGACAAAGGTCAAATACTCAAGTACTGAAGATGAGTCCCATGCACGCCTAGAAATAATTAGAACATTCTTTCTAGAGGCGTCATCGGACTTCATTCAAGCTGATCAAGAGCAACTTCTTGAAGACAAAGACTACATGCAAGACTTTGAAGATTCCTCAAACCCTGGCATCAAAGAACAAATTGTCAAGAAGATATCAAAGGGGAGATTGCAAGGATTTCTTCAAAAGGCCTTCTTAAGAAGTCGAGCTCAAGACCAAGACAAAGGAAGCTGAGCTGCACTGAAGATCAAGACAAAAGAGGAGCAACTCAACAAATGTTATCTACGCTCTCCTCTACATTGCTCAATAAACACAAAGACAAAGATATCCGCGCAACAATGCTGAATGAACATGATTGAACACCAAGGGGGAGATTGTTAGGGATATTTTATGGTGTCCAATCCTGATAAATATCTTTGTATTTGTGTAGCTATTTTGTCTAGATATTTTAGCCCATTGGGATCTTTGTTAGCTATTATTATACTAGCTTTATTAGGAAATATGTAAAGTGTGCTATTGGGCCCAATCAATAAAAGAGCCCAATCATGCTTAGGTCACATCACACATTCCCTAGGCATATAAATATTGCCTTTAAGGGAATGTGCGAAAAAGGCTTTTTCAGATTATTCACGCATACATTTTACGCTAGAGAGAGAGAGCAGAGAAATTTCCTTTTCATACATGAGCTGTAGTTCGAAATCATTCTTGTATTGAATCGGATCATCTTTTCTTCTCTATTCTATTCTATATTGTTAGTTTGATTGTTGAAACAGGGACAAACAGGATGCGTTTGAACATGGTCTGAAACGCCGATGTTCCTCCGCTTCTTCCGTGATAGGTTTGAGTTGACATTAGGATTTGTGATCGAAGATAATAGTTCCATCGTATCAATCAGCAAAGTTCGTGAGTTTCTGAGACAGAACGCTCCTCTATCTTCGCAGTATTGCAGGCCGGAACTTGGAACTAAGAATTTGGAGATTCAAATGCAACTGAAAATTTAAAAGTAAAAGTAGACATTAATTAGTCCTTAAAGTCACATGTGTAGACATTAAACTCCTATAGGTAAAGTAAGTATAAAAGCTAATACAAAAGTATAAAGCAAATATGAAATTTAATAGATTCAATTGATGAAATAATGCTTAAATATATCTATGAAGCTAAGAAAAATACACATCACGTGATATAAATATAAAGTTGTTAAAGGAAGAAAATGGAGTTTTATTTTAGTGTTATTCAACAAATTCTTTAGAAATATGACTATGTGCAATGTCTTTTTTGAACATTAAATTAGTATAACTAAAGTAAAGTACAAGAATTAGTATAAAATTATAATACATACCCCATTGAGTATGAACATGGAGTTCTTAAAGGTGGAAAACTAAAACATGTGGGACACCAATTGTTACAGATCGATATTATGTCGAAGATTTTAGTGACACATGACGAGACATAGTTAATGTACTAAGTAGGAAGAAGTGGGTTGCTAAGTGCAATTTGATTTACACAGTGTATATAAACAAGTGAACCCTAGCCCTAATTCGGCATTTCCTCAAAATGCTAGGGGTCAGAAGGAAGATTGGCGAAGAAGTTCCGATGGTGAGAAGACCGGCAAGGTGTTACCGCCAGATTAAGAACAGGCCATACCCAAAGTCAAGGTACTGCCGTGGTGTGCCTGACCCAAAGATTAGGATCTATGATGTGGGAATAAAGAAAAAGGGAGTTGATGAGTTTCCATTCTGCGTGCATTTGGGCAGCTGGGAGAAGGAGAATGTCTCGAGTGAGGCCCCTGAAGCTGCCCGAATTGCTTGCAACAAGTACATGACCAAGTTTGCAGGAAAAGATGCCTTCCACCTTAGGGTTAGGGTTCACCCTTTCCATGTTCTTCGTATTAATAAGATGTTGTCGTGTGCTGGGGTTGATAGGCTCCAAACGGGAATGAGGGGGGCGTTTGGCAAGCCGCAAGGTGTTTGTGCCCGCGTTGCCATTGGAGAGGTTCTTCTGTCCGTTCGCTGCAAAGATTCCAACAGTCAAAATGCACAGGAGGCTTTGCGTCGTGCCAGGTTTAAGTTCCCTGGTCGCTAAAAGATCATTGTTAGCAGAAAATGAGGTTTCACAAAGTTCAACCGTACTGATTATCTGAACTACAAGAAGGAAGGCCGCATTGTGTCTGATGGTGTCAATGCTAATCTTTTAGGATGTCATGGACCCCTTGCAAAACGCGCACCTAGAAAAGCATTTATTGATGCAGCAGCTTAGACCTTTTGTTTTTGTTTCACAAGACGATTGAGCAAAGTCTATCATGTAGCACATTATGATTTTATTTCATTTGAGCAAATATATCACGACATCACTTTTATGATATTTTGTTGGCGTTTCTCTGTTTTGGATAATTTGATGTGTTTGCTACTTATCATAAAAAAGTGTATATAAACAAGTGAGATAGTCATTAAATACACAGTAAGAAGACATTAATTTTGAATATGTCTGCTACTTAAATATATATGACAATCAAAATACATCAACTGAAATGCTAAAAATCATGTCAATTAACATAAATTTTAATGCCAACAAATCATGCCAACAAAAAACTAAATCCATAAAATAATATCAAACTAAGAACTATGGATCAGGATAGGATTTATGCAAGATTTCTTATTGTGTCGACATTTCTTACACCGTGAACAACGTTGTCTGAAGCCAAACTCTCTAGTTGAACTTCAACAAATAACCACGAATAGGAGGATCTTGTGGCAGACTTGGCTACCTAGTGAACTTTCATGGCAAACCAGTAGTAGATCCTCTAAATTTTGCTCTAATATTTCCTAAAATGTGTTGAGCATCATAGCCATGTTCAGCATGGGGATAACCTGTTCTTGCTACATGAATAATTCCATCACGTCGATCTGAGACAAAAACCAAATTATCTCCATGAGCAAGAGTCTTCTTTAGCTTGTTCAACGTCACACCATAATCTCTATTCATGTCAACACTATATTATTAGAATTCTAATAATATCGGAACTTTATAAGTTCTACAATAATTTTAGACGTGGATTGTTGATGATGACATTATCTATAATTAATGGAATAGGTGTTGGAAATTTTGGAATATTTCAAATGAATAAGATTTTTACATTTAAGTACATTTAATTAATTATGTAAATGAATTAAATTCATTAATTATGGTTTTCATTGATACACTTGAAAACAAAAAGAAACCGTAGCATTTACAAAACTTAGAGCTATTTCTCAATTTTGTTTTCTAAACGTTGGAATCATTAACGGTTCAAATAATAATAAAAAACGTTGGAATCATTAATATTATTAATGATGCTAAACTTAATTTGTAGGCCTTTGGTTGTCCTTGTGATGCGTGCATATATATATATGTATATAACGCATGTATGCATGATGATGAGAAAAGGAAGATAGTCAAGAAAGTAACAAAAATAAACTTGTACTTAGCATAAAGTTAGTGGAACATTAGAGGGTCATTTTGCATTCTATATACATGAATAAATAATTATGACTGGATGCCTGTGTGCGGGAAGATGGAAATGGTTCCAAGGTCTCAAGCTATGGAGTAACAAATCGCACTCCTAACACTTTTAAGCTTTCCGGCCAAGTTCTTTTTCCTAAAGTTTGCGATACAAAAATCAAATATTTAATGCTGGGTTCATATAATATTTTCTTCTCGTTAGTTCTGCTTCCGGTTTGATAACTGAAGGGCTCGTTATATCTTGGGGGAAATTTCCGTACGCCGGAAATAATTCCTTAGGACAGCGTCTGACGCGTCTTGAGCCACTAATATATTTCTAGTTCTTTTTAGTGATTATTTTGTAGGTCAATTAGCAGAGCTAGATGGTCAACGAGGTCAATTGAGGAGCAATCCGGTCAACACTTTGAATTTGGAAGGATAGAGACAACAATACGAATAGTTAGAATGAAACCTGAAAAGAAGAACACAAAATATCAGATAAGTATACACACTAAATAGTCCTTAAATAGTCCTTAAACAAGTACAAATGACATAAAATAAAATAAAAGTAAGTATATAAATTTCAGGATGAACACAACACGCCACTTGTAAAATCAAAACTTGTATTAATTTGCAACATATGTCTTCCAGAAAGCATCATTCCACAAACAGCCTAGATGCATTCATCATCAACCCAAAAAGCATGCAACTATATGAGTATGATGGAAGTTAGAAAGAACTTCAAAATCAGGAACAACAAACAAAGAATTAAAATGAGAGTTTGAATCATAACTGAGAGCTTTACTTGAAGAAGACAAAGCTAAAACGTGTTGATATGAATCATTAAGTTGTCTTTTGAATCTTCACTGAAAGAGGAATGTGTATCTTCTAAGTTCATCAAATCATTTTTTTGGTGCACACTGATGTAATGTTAGTGGAACTTTATACCATATTGTTTAGCTAAATTCAAAATTACTCGATAGATTAATCATTAATGCACATCATCAATTCCCTATCCATCTGTCTAATAGAATTCATGCAAAAGCATACAAAAGTATCCATTTCCAGACCACTGATCACAAATTCACACAAATTGATATTTTCAAATGATTCGTACTTTCATGCTCGAACAATATTTCATTATCGTAGGTTTTTTCAGAAGTTTTCTAGGGGCGCAGAAAATCAAACCTGAACTAATTAACCAACTTAAAAATTAATAAGATAAAGGATGAAGGGTGCAAAAATGAAAATCAAGAGGAAGTAACAAAGCAATTAAAATCCTTCAAGAAACTGATTTGAATGAATTAACGGCTTTTTGTGCGAACCGATGACGTATGTACGTGAAAACATTTTTTAGAAAAATGATTAACGTATCCTTTCATCCGTTAATTCAATATTATTTGAAGCAGAACTTCATTGTAACCTTTGTCTGCATGAATATAAAATGGCTAAATCTAAAGCCACTAGCAGAGACTCGAACAAAAAATAAGACTTTGACAACAAATGCCCAAAATTATTCAAAATTCCAAATCCCATTCGATACTAAAGGAAGAGTAAGTTTCTTAATTCTCACTGGCAAACTTGATTCCCTTCTCAATAGAGTAATCTCAGGCTTCAGTTTCTCTAATCCTTACTTCTCGAAGTCAGACAGGGAACCCAACCCTAAGACTTCTTCCACACCATTTTTTCCAAGTCTCACTTTGAATGCAATGAAAGGAAGCTCGGTTATGGTTGAATGTACAAAGGAACATTCAATAACATCAGGAACTCTATTCAATTCTTTGAAGCAAATATATGCAAATATGGCCCTAACATATACCATCGAGAGTGCAGCTGAACCCTTCCCATCCTTAGCTTTCTTAACTTCCGACCTCCCTGTTGTATTCTTTTTCTAAGTACAACAATTACATCATCAGATAACTTAGGCTTTGGTGTAGCTTGAGAAAACATATATATATATATATATATATATATATATATATATATATATATATATATATATATATATAGAGAGAGAGAGAGAGAGAGAGAGAGATAGAGAGAGAGAGAGAGAGTAATCTTCCGGTCAGGAATTTCTTGACCGGAGCGCCGTCCGGCCCCCTCCTTTTGGGGGCCTTCCCGGTGGTATTTTTTTCTCACATTTTTTTGTGTATGTTCCTCATGAAGTCTAGTTCATCCATACTAAATTGCAGCAAAAAATTCAATCGGGAAGGTCGTCAAATGATTTTTGCAAGTTAACTAGTCCGGAAAATACATATTCCGGACCAGTTAACTTGCAAAAATCATTTGAAGACCTTCCCGAATGAGTTTTTGGCTGAATTTGTTTGTGGATAAACTAGACTTGGTGGAGAATATGTCATAAAAATTTCGTCGAAAAATTCCACCCGGAAGGTGGCCAAACGCTGCCGTCCGGACGGCGGTTCCGGTCAGGAATTCCTGACCGGAAGAGTACTCTATATATATATATATATTGACTCAACAAATTAAGAACATAGATTGAAAACTTACATATCTGAATGGCACGAGGTGACGAGAAAGGATGCAATGCGGAAGGGGATATCATAGCTGAACGACTTCCCATTGAGACGCTGTCACTGCACGATGGCTTCCATTAAGACGGAAAACAGAAGAAGAAGACACGGTCGCTGCGGAAGAAATTGATTGTTGCGGTAGTTATTCGTCTTTCATAAGAGCATCTCCAATGGTAAAATGTGCACGGTGCACACGTGACATAAGAAATGACCCATAAATATTAGTGAATAAATTCTTTCTCTCCTTATTTGAATGATTTTATACAGTTTTGGTAAGTTTTTCTCCACAATGTCAAGGAGACCGTCTAGATGTTGACATTGTTGATGACATTGCAGGGAAAAACTTACCAAAATTGTATAAAATCATTCAAATAAGGAGAGAGATAATTTATATGCTAATATTTATGTGGCTATCACTCATGCCACATGTGCACCGTGCACATTATAGCATTGGAGATGCTCTAAGCAACCTAAAATGTGGTGGGGGGGGGGGGGAACTAAAAATTAAGTTTCCTGAAGTAGAACTAAATAAAGCTTTCGGATGAAAGAAATTAACTGAGTCCTAATCTTGTAAACTTTGTATGATTTCATCTAACTAACATCAATTTTCTCCCGTAAATACTAGTATCGTGTTTTAATAAATAAAGTAAATTCGTTCAAAAAAATATTGAATTAAGAGTATGCCAAAGTAAATTTTGATAAGTAAAACAATGCTAGTCATTGTGACCTAATCATACTGAGTATGAATCAATTAAGAGTTGACACGGTCCTATTTGACTAGAAAAAAAATCAAAAAATCAATTGTTGCTCTAACTTCTCGATGATCATCACAGTAATTGTGCTTTTTAAAAGTGATTTTTTTAAGAGATTATTGGAAAAGTGATTTATAGTAAAAGTAGGTAGTGTTTGGGAATAGAAGTGATTTTAATTAAAATGTAAAAGTTGATTTGTTTGGTAAAAAAATGATTTTTGATGTAATGTATGGTTAAAATACAAAAATATCCCCAACTTGTATAGTGCATCCACTGTTGTCTCCTTTTATCTCTTCACCCCATTTCCAATGAGCTAGAGTGCCGTTGGGAGATTCTTCTGGTGAGTGCCATAGGGGTCAATGATATGTACATCTTCTTGGTATCCTGGAATCCGGATTGCTAATCAGTTTTTTCTAGGTATGTGGAGTTTAAGAATAAATAGTGAATAGATTTGATTTAATATATATACACATAGAACATTGGTAAAAGGAATTTGGGCAGAACAGAGAGGTAACAATGGC